AGACCCTGTGGGCAGTTCCACTCTGTCTTCTAGGGACGCTGTGGGTCGGAACCAACTCAATGGCAGTGGGTGGGGCTTTTTCAAAAGTATTTTCACTGTGGCTCCTTGATAGGAATTTCAAGACTTGAGAAAGTCAGTGTGGGAAATGCAGACAGATGTTGGTTGTAAGGGAGAATCTTTTCTATAAATATACGAATAGGTATGGGTGTGGCGCCAGCACTACAAGGACTCACTTTCTCCCTGTAGGGGAAGCTCAACCACCATTTCGGTGATACCTCTGTTTACAAAAGAAAGAAAATCAGTGTCAGGAGCTGAAGCTTCTCCACTGTTTCCTTGGAGAGCAGCCTGCTCTTGCTTCTCAAGAGGGGGGCCCTTTCTGACCTGGCTCAAGGGTTAGTGGCTAACTTTAGTGGTGGCCTGGGCCCAGGTTTTCTGAGTTGGGGAGTGGCGTTAGCAGCAGGGACATGGGGGAAGGGGAGTGACTGATTCTCTTGGGGGCACAGCAGACCCTCCGTCTCTGGAACTTGCTGGAAAGATCCTCTCTGGAAGCACCCCTGCCCCAGAGCCCTGCATCTGAATGTTCCTGGGTTGCCCGTTGAGTCACGAGTGCGGGTCAGTTTTTTTCAGCCACATTCTGCTCTCGGCAGCTATGTGCCCACCTCTCCACAGTAGGCCACAATCTGGTGGGCCAACAGAACTAACCAGTGAGGGGGTGGCAGGTCCCAGGTCACATGGGGTGAAGCTAGAGCAGAATCCCCCATCCCTCCTGTATCCCTGGAAGAGGGAACCTACAAATTGTCCCCCCTACCACTGGCAGCTTCCCCTCAGGCAGAGACCCCACACAGACCTCTGCCCTCTGACAGAACGTTAGCTCCTTCATCCCGTCACTGGTCTTCAGCCCCTAGTGTTTCTTTCCTGGGGTGTGATAAGTAGCCTTCCCCCGATGTCTAAGGCTGGCTGGTGTCATCTGTGCCTGGTCCCTGTGCAGGCGGCAGCCAAGGGCACTGGGACATGTTCTCCTGAGATGCCATCTGCTTGTCATCCGAAGGTGGTGACTCCCCTTCACTCTCTTCTTGTTTGCTAGCCCTGCAGGGGCAGGGCCAGGACCCCCTAGGCCTTCTGGAGCAGCTGGGAGCCCAGGGCTCGGGAGCCAAGGCGCTGTCTGTTCCCTCTCCCAGAACTGCCCCTCCCCTCCACAGGCTGGCTGAGTCCCATGAGCCTGGAAACACGTCACGCCACCCTGGAAACGCTCGCTGACCTGGACATGGGACGGCTCTGTCATTCTGAGCCCAGTTAGTGGGACTCAGCAAGATTCCTTGTGGGGGCAGCTGGAGTCTAGGAGTGGGTTGAGGTCCACGTCCAACATGGCAAAGGCTTGTCAAAGCAGTTTTTGGTTTCATTCTGTGAGCGTGGCAGATGGTCACCTGTGGCCTTTGGGAGCATGGCCAGCTGTCCTCTGGCTTGGAATTTTTCTCCAGGAGGCAACAGGGGCCAGCAGTTGGTCTGGAATTAGCTTTAGCTCTAGTTAAGCATGAAGTGCCTTAGCTGCCATGGATCCATCCTGGAATGCTGTCCCACCTGGGCGCTGCCGGTCCCTGACGGCGGGCTCAGCGAAGGCCCCTGCCTCCAGCACCTCTTCTTCCCTCAGGTGAGGGGAGGGGAGGGGCGGAACTTGCTGACTTACCACCAGGAGGGGTTTAACCCACCTTGTTGTCTCACCTGAAGATCAAGATGGAAAACAAGAGTAGCACACAGGTGCAGAGAATTCCCCGTGCCACCTGGGAAGGTCCGCTTCTTGGGGGGGAGACTGTGGGATAGCATAGCTTGAAGACCAAGGCCAAGATAAACCACAGCTGAGTCACTGCTTCACTCTGGGGGCCTGAAGATGGACTTGCTGACCGGATAGACAGACGGAGAGGTCAGACAGGTGAGAGGTCGTCAAGGATCGGGGAAGGATTTGCATGCTTATCATGCTCAGCGGGCCTGCCGGGAGCTCTCCCGTCCAAAGTGAACCTTCACTGGAGGACCTCAGCCCCTGGAAGAGGAGGGCGTCTCAGGGGCTGCCTGGGCCCCTGGGAAGCTTCACTTCTGGTCCCACACAGTCATCCTTGGAGAGGGTGCTGCTGAGTCAAACTACGAGGCCACGTTCAGCTTGGCCGTGCACCTGCCGCAGTGTGATGACAGGCCCAGAGCAAGGAGAGCAACACGCAGCCAGAGCCTTCATCTCCCCACTCGGCTCTGGGAGTGGAAGCCGGACGCCAGGTCTAGGAAGCGGCCTCCCATTTCCCTGCACCTCTGAGTGGTACCTAGTGCCCAGGGTTCGAGTCCCTCAGCCTCTGAGTGCAGCCTCATTTCAGGAACCCCTCCTGGGTTCAGGCGGGGGCGAGAAGACGTGAAGGGTCTAAGTTGTGGAGTTTCCATGTTCACGACTCACATACCTCTGTTCCTAGGAGCTATCGGAGTCCTAAGACTGTGGGGAGCGGCCAACTGCGAATTAGGCTAATGTTTCCTTATAAGAAATGGAAGTTTATTTTTGTATTGATATTACTAAGTGATGAACTGTGGGGGCAGATGTCCAAATAGAAGGACCTTTCAAGACTCCGACGCTACACATGGGCCGAGACGCTGGGGGCTTTATTCCTGAAAGGTGTTGGGGAACGATTCTGGTCGCTGAGCCGTGACATCCTGGCAGCACTCCTTAGGAATGGCCAATCCCGGGAGCACGACACACAGGCACCAACTCCAAGCAAAAGATCAACATGGTGGTCCGGTCAGCAGCCTCTCAGTCAGTGCGAGGGGCATGGAGCCGGAGGGACTTTCAAAGCTAGCACTATTTGTCTTGGAGCCGGAAGACGGCTGGTGGAGTGGACTGCAAGTCTAGAAGGGGGGTCCGAATTCTCCAGGGCTGTCGAGGAAAGCTAGCCCCTGCTTGTATCAGCACAGCATCTTGGCACAACTGGGCGGTAAAGAAAATACGGTCCAAGCGCAGAAGGGTTCAAGGCCCATGGGGGACGCAGGGGTGATGGCTCACGTGTGCTTGGGAACGCTCCTCCACACTGATGACGCATCCATTCGGCTCGCTGAGCACAGCCGAATGCAGGTGGGACGGTCAGTGGGAAAACCCCCACCGGGAGACGTCCACCCAGAGGTAACAGGGCCAGTGCAGATCAACGTAACTGACGTTTGAGTGAGAACGCCTTCCTTTGGCTAAACTAAGCAAAGAGAAAGTCTACAAACATCACTGGAGGTGGCACTGGGAATGAGAAGTTCACCTCTGGCGTGTCCACAGACAGCAGTGAGGACAGAGTTGACTATTTCTCGCAGACCGGTGGGCCAGTTGGGCCTCAGTAGAGGAACGCCAACACACACTTCTTTCATTTGTCCCGTTTGTGGGCTAAATTCTTAAAGGTCTGGGGAATCAATCCTTTCTGAAAAAGAAATAGTTGTAGCCTTGGGAAAATGACTTTCCTATTTTTTTTCTAAGTTGGGACCAGCATAGCCCCCCATCGTCTTCAACATAAAATTCCCTATTTTGGCAAAAAGCCTGGCCTGACAGAGCAATAAGGGACACAGAATCCACTTCTGTTTCGACTTTACCTCGCATCACTCATTAGTGAGGCAGTCCACGTTGCCCGAGTACCCTGCCCCCTCCCGGTCTCCTTTCAACGGTGATCACTCTAAAGGCCTCGAGAAAGCTGGGCGGAACCCTGCAGCGACGCAGCTGTGTCCTGAGTGGGTGTGAGCTGTGGGGACCCTATCTATGTGCCCAGAGCTGGACCGAGCTGTGTGCAGAGGCTCATCTAACTGTATTTACAGAGAACAATTTTTACAATTAAAGCTCACATTTTAACACGAACTTGTGTGTGGAAGTCCTTCACCTTGTCCAAGAAATGTGGTCCGTGGTAGAGAGGAGAAAGGGTTCACAGGTGACACTGACGTCACCCACAGTCATGCTGGAGGAAGGTGAGCACTGGGACCTCTAGCCCCAGAGGACATGCTCAGGTAAGCTCCTCGGGGATGGAAACCGGAGTCGGGAATAATGACCCGTCTGGAAGAGCCAAGGCCAGGCCCACCCAGAGGAGCCACGGCCACGCACGCTCAGCCTCTCAGGCTGCATCTAGAGAGGAACCACTAGAGACTGAAGCCTTTGCCACAGAACCTCTATCAGAGTTTAGTTTAAGACATTAGGGATTGGGGCCTGGGTATGTTTGTTTTGCTTTTAACCACGGGGGGAACATTTAAGCCGGTATAAATTACCAACATTACTGGCTCTGGAATCAAAGTGCCTGGTGCAAAGCCAGGTTTCTGCTTCCCGAGCTGTTTGGCCAGACTGTTGCCCACCTCAGGGGCTGCCGCGAGGGCAGTGTGCAGCCCTGGCAGGTGGTGATTACAAGCGCGCGTGCAGATGTGTGAGGATCCGATGGGGCGAGGCCGACAGCTTGCTATTCAAGTACTGAGTGGAGGGCGCCTGCTACGCTCTCAGCAGAGATAACCTTAGCTTCCGGGTGACCTGAACCCGCCAGAAGGTCTGTGTTAAGTGGGAGGCGGAGGGCCTCGGCTTCTCCTTCAGACCCCTCCGGAGTCCAGATCCGGCCAGCAGAGACCACTTGCCCCTCACCGCGCTGAGAGTCAATTTCTCTCACATGGTACAGAAGGACAATGCACAAAGCAACAGACGAGGAAACCACATTCTCCCACGACGTAGTCTAAACCAAGGGACACACTGGGAACAAGGCAGGATTCTATTGAAAATGGAGCAACCTTCACCTGGAGGAGCTCTGGTAGCATAGTGCCTAAGGCACTTGACTGCTAACCAGAAGGCTGGCGGTTCAAACCCACCAGCCACTCCTCGGAAGGAAGGTTGGGCAATCTACTTCCGTAGTGATACCACCTCAGAAACCCAAGGAGGGGTCGCTATGAGTCGGGTCTGACTCGACGGCACATAACAACACAACCAACCTTCACCTGGACAAAATCTTCCCCAACCCCACATGCATCGTTCTGACGGACTGACTCACGGCCACACGCGCAGCCTGTCGGCAGAGGACAGTGGCCCCCATGCTGCTGCAGAGCCAGGATGCGCCAGGTTCTCTTGGGTCTGGCAGACGTGCTGACAGTAGATGGCCATCTCCCTCCACGGGCATCAGGGCAACTCCTACAGGACACATGGCCAGGGCTTCCATAGCTGCTGGACTCCTCTGTCAAGCACTGCTCTTGACCCTGAGGGGCTCACAGGGATGGACACGTGAGCTGCGTCCAAACGGCTCTGCTGGGAACGGGTGTGGAGTGAGGGCTGCCGGCTCTCCTTCCCGCCTCACCACCCTGCTCCTCCCCACTCCGTAAACGGACTGCGGACTGCGTGCTGTGCCCCTGCAGCATAAACCTCGGGCTGGAGCGAGACCAACGCCCACAGGATTAAAAGGATCCTACTGGGCGGGCCGAGAAATCCTTCGCACGTCAGGTCATTCCCGGCTCATTCTTTCAACCCCTAATCAGGTTGCTTGGTGGTGTTTCAGTCGTCCCTGAGCTGGCTCCGTGCGCAGTGACCGTATGACACGTAATAGGACACAATGCACCCAGTCCTGCCCATGGTCACGGTCACTCCTGTGTTAAGTCCACCACTGCAGCTACTGTGCCAGGCCACCTCATGGAGGGTCCCCTCATGGCGGGTCCCCTCGTTTCTGCTGACCCCCCACAAGCATGATGCCCCTCTCCAGTGTGTGGGTGGAAGCCATTATTAAAAGGTTTTCATGCAGGATCCCTGTGACTTTTCTTACGTAACTCCAAATGTCACTCACAGAGCTCAGTGACACCCTCAGGACAGAACTCTTCTGTTCCCGTCGGCTTACCACGTGCTGGCATCTGGAAAGTTGGCGAGAGGCTCGTCGCAGCTGTGGGCAACATGGCGTCTTCTTGGACAAACGGACAAATGAACTCAGTGGAAGGGGCCCTTCTAGTCACGTGTAAGGCTTAGGTACAGATATTTAGATCAAAATTGTTTCTATCACATGTGTGCCAATAATTGGCAAAAAATGTATTCTGTATGAATTAGCATTTCAAGCAGAACTGAAAACTGTTATTCCTATTTATACAGTCTGTTGGTAAGATGCTAACAGGGTGACTGAACAGTAATCTCAAGCATAAAGATGGACAACATCATGACGACACTGCGGAAAATGGCGAGGAGATCCCCCAAGGAGAAGAGCCAGTGTGAGATGCCAACGTAAGGACCTGTTCATTTATTTCTTTCAACGGATGGAAAGTATGAAATAGCAGCAGTACTGAGTTTACAGTGCCTGTATTTAAGAGTGGTTAACAACTTTATTTTAAAATGTTGCTATTTACATGGCAACAGAAAGTACATACTTTGGCAACTATTCAACCCTCTCATGACCCATGGGACACATACTGCCCACCAACACTTTCAGCCTCTCAGGTCTGACAGAAGGCTGGCACTGTAGGAACTGTGTAACTGTGTGAATCTGAAGAAACAGGCCTCAACCCACCATTCCTACCACCAGAATCCACTTGGGACATATGTGTCCCATGAAATAGGATCAAAATCTATATTACCTCAAATAAATCTTTTCCCTTTATGTCAGCAGGCCTTCCATTCCATATGGTATCAACAAAAACCTCAAAGCAGACTACTGCGGTCGTGAAAGGGTTAAGTTGCATGAAAATGTCAGCCCTCCCGTTAGCTGTATGTGGGGGTATGACTCTTCAAAGGACTTCTGGGGCACAGAAGTGGTAATCTGTGGAGCACTGCTGAGGGAGCACTTGTGGAGTCACAAGAGGGGGGGCTTCTGAAAACAGAGTCCTGCCCCCCCATCGAGTGAGGCCCCCCCACAAGTGAGTCAGCTTTCAACATGTACCCCATGTGGTTCTCATGCAAGGTGACAGGAATCACTACTTTAAAAAAATAACTAGTATTTTACAGTATTTCGGCCATAACTGAAGAGGGACCCCACCTCACGTTTCTGACGGAGGACAGCCCAGTGGGACAGGAGGCAGGGGTTGGGGCGGCAACCCGCCCTAGATTCCAGCGGGAAAGAGCAGCCAGGAGCTCTGGTGGTCGGGGCTGCTTCCCACTGCGGCCGGGCTCCATGGCCCTTCCCACCCAGGGGACGGGCACCTTCTGGAAGGAGACAGGGAGGTCAGTGCTGAGGAGGGTCAGCTGTCACACGAGACGAGGGCGTGGGGGGCCGATGAGGGGCAGGAGGGTGCTAGAGGCCGTGGACGGCCGGCCTGCTCCCGCGGGGCCCACCTATGGGGCCGCCTCGGGCCCCTCTGGCTCCGTCATCGCTGGGGCCGGCCCCGGCAGCGCCTGCTCCCGCATCCTCGGGTCACAGAAGAAGTGCAGCTTCTGGGGCAGCAGTGTGACCTCCACGGCCATGGCCTCGTACTCTTCGCTGTCGATGCTGAAGGAGCCCCCTGCTCCCTGTGGAGACAGCACCGGCCGGCTCCACCCCTCAGTGCCTCGGAGGTGGGGTCTGGGGCGGCCAGCCCCAGGGCACTGCCTGGGAGACACTGTCCTCACTGGGGACGGACCACAGCACGCTGGCAGTCATTGTGGTGAGGCTGGGGCACCGCAGTCCCACCACCCACACGAGGACGTGCTCTCTCTGTGGGGGACCGGGGGCCACCCCAGTCCCACCACCCACGGGAGGACATGTTCTCTCTGTGAGTCCCCTCACCTCCCGGCCTGCTCTGGGATCTGAGGACTAAGGTGTGTTATTCAAATATTTATTAATGATAGGGCTCCCGCCAGCTCTGAAGTGAACCCACAAACCTGTGACACGGTCCTCTGGGCTCCAGTCCTTCCCCAGTGAGAAGCAGCAAAGACACTGATTCTGGAAAGCCTGTGTCCACCCTCACCTCTTCAGGGAGGCTTAGCTCCCCACCATGACACCAGCTCTAGGAGCCCTGCCATCGCTGGCACCGTATCCGGCATTCACTCTGTAGAGTCTGGCCACCCTGTGGGGGTCCTGGCAGCCCAACCACATGTCCAGGGGCCACGACCTCCAGTTACTGCAACCGCAGTAACTCTTCCTAGGCTCGTTTCATCCAACAACCGACCTCCCACTTTCCCCATTTACACTCGCTGTTCCAAGCTGGGCATTTCACCGCCCAGAACAAGGTGACGCCACCCTGAACACTGGCTGCAGATTGCTGTCAATGGGGGGCGGTGCCCCCAGGCCCCTGCCAGCTGTGGCAGGGCTGCCCCTTGCCTCACTCACATGGGGAAGAATCAAGGCTCAGGACATGGAAAGGTCCCCTGCAAGACACCCCCGAGAGAACAGCAGGAAGCTTGGGGTCTCCCCAACTCCTAGGCCAGCCTCCATCTTTCGGGGATCCCTCCACAGAACCCAGAGCCTGGCCTGGTGCTTGGCAGGTGCCTAACTGTGGGCAGGCTCACGCAGGACGGAGGAGAAGAAGGCGGGAAGGGGACAGACCAAGGCTGAGCCCAGCTGGACCACCGCCCCTGCCCTCGCCCGCCGCTCACCTCGGGCAGCCGCAGCTTGCACCTGCTGGCCTGGAAACACTCGGTGCCGGCGGGACGCAGGGTGGGATTGCGCACCCTCTTGCTCCTGTTGGCGCAGGAGAGAGCAAGTTAGCGACCGGCAGCAGCAAGCGGGCCTGGACTGCAGGCGGCGGCACACTCGCCCTTCTCAGGAGAGGGTGACGTCGAGCTCCACAATGGCTTTACCGAGAAGCTTTACCTGCTGCAGGTGAACATGTGTAAAGCTGAGACCGGGTGACTCTGACTTTTCTTCACATCTGCAGAGACCCACAGGCCCTAACTCTGGGCTACCAGGAACCTCCCATTTAAAATGCAGAACTGCAAGGCTCAGGACAGGCCCTGAGCTTCTGCTTCTGGGACTTCTCATGACTGTTCATCGCTCGATGGAGAGACGTGTCCACTCTAACTTCACAGAGACACTTCCTTGACAGACATAAAGAATGAGCTCCAGTTCCAGTGACTCCCTGTGCTCCTGTAAGTCCACCTGGCATATCACCGTGAACCCTGGGGGCCCAGCTGCGAGCTGAGTGCTAACTAACCAGAAGCTGGCCGTTCAAACTCACCAGCTGTTCTGCAGGAGAAAGATGAGGGATCTGCTTCTGTAAAGATGACAGCCTTGGACACCCTGTGGGCAGTTGTACTCTGTCCTCTAGGGGCGCTATGAGTCAGAATCGACTCAACAACCCCAGGATTTAGAAGCAGCTCACTTTAGCTTAACTAAATGGGTTTGGACTGAACTACCAGACTCTACACATGTATGTGTGCCCACATACATGTGCACATACGTGCACACACACACACATACACGTACACATGTGCATGCACATGCACATGTAACACATCTACCTCCACCCTGTGCATACACACTCTTCATAGCTAGGGATGCTAAGTGGGATAAGCGTAACGGCTAATCCAAGGAAGTCCATCTCCTGACAGTGAACTCACACAGTCATTCTTTAGGGCATGGAACCCACAGCCGAGTTCTCTGCAACATTTCACCACGTCCTACTCAGCTGTCTAGGAAAATGGGTGTTGTCGGATGTCACATCCC